TTTGTCATGGAAATGTATATAAAATTATTTTTTAGATCATCAATTATTATACATGATGAGCAAATTTTAAACTTATCCAATTTATTTTGGATAAAAATGTAGCAACATAATGAACATTTGATGTAGTTGGGCAGATTCTTGCTTTTGCAGCATTTCACTTTGTTCTTGACTCTGCCAGGGCCTTTGCAGATGTTTGTGTGGTTCTTGAGGCAGGAGAGGAGGCCACAGAAATGACCCCTGCGTCTCTTGTTATGTGCCCACTGTGATTGATGATGGCTGCTTCGAGGGCGGGATTGAGAAAGAATCCGAGTCTCTGTGGTTCACGGAGAGAGTTACGTACGGAGCTGATTATTGATGTCTGCCAGAGGTTTAGCACTAGAGCATGGTGGCTGAGGTGCAACGTTTAGTCATCTTCTGTGTAATGGAAGGAGCTTCAGTTTGGGAAGCCAGATAGCTGAGTTTCAGTTCCAATTGTTCACCTGTGTGACTTTGAGCAAATCAATTAAACACTCTGTTCCCCCATTTTTCTCCCATCCAACAAGGAAGATATTGATGTAATAGTAATTGAAGGATGATGTTTAAGGCCTGTCCCAGCTCCAAAAATGCCGTGGCTATATATATTCAGCAGGCATCTAAGCTAACTTGGGCACCTGGTCATTTTTATAAGATCCCTGGAACTTTTCACACTTACTACCTGTGGTCAATTGTCATGGTGATGACCCCCAATGCAATAGGACTTCCCCTGCCTGTACCTCTTTTCAGTGTGGTCTTCCCACTCCTCCTGTCAGGAGATGGAGTTTATTTCTCTCCCTTCAACCTGGGCTGGCCCATCATTTCCTTTGACCAATAGAATGTGGGAGAACTTAGCCTTCAGAGGCATTAGAGTTTCTGCCTCTGGATTGGGATGAAAGGGCACGTGGAGTGAGGGGCCCAGTGGACCCAGATGAGCCCAGCCCCAAGCCTACCTGCCAACCAAAAGCAGTTGCCTAAGTGAGACCAGCACAAAAACCACCCACAGAATCAGGACAAGAAAACAAAGTAGTGTTATTTTAAGCCACAGTGTTTGTGTTTGTTGTCATAATGCAGTAGTAGACAGCTGACAGAGAAGTTGGAAGTCAGTCAGTAAGTCTCCTATGACTGGAAGGTTCTAATAGTTGGTGCTGGCTGTCCGCTGTGGTACCTTAGTTCTCCTCCATGTGGTTCTCATTCCCCAGTAGGCCACCTGGGCTTTTCCCAGCATTTTGGTCTCAGTGTTCCAAGAGGACAAAAAAACAGAAGTTGTCAAGTCTGTTCGGGGCTGACCCTGGGAAGTCACATAGTGAAGCTTCTACCACATTTCACTGATCAAGGCGAGTCCCAAGGCCAGCCCAAATTCAGGGGGAGAGGAAACAGACTTCCATTTTTGATGAGAAGAGAAGCAAAGTCACTTTGCAAAGGGGCAGGTGGGATGGGAGGCACTTTTGTGGTAATATTTGTAAATCCTCTACCACACTGACTTCAGATGCTTGACTAGTACAAGATTCCATTTGGTTTCTTTTGTCCATTGTATGTGTTCTGGGTTAGCTTTGTGCCACCCAGAGTTCAGCACAGGGCCTGGCATGTTGTGTCATCATCACTTCAGTGTGGCAAAAACACCCCAAGTGTTTACATCCAAAGGACAGAGACAGGCACTTCTGGGCTGGTAGTGAGTGAGGAGGAAAAGGGAAAGGAAAGGAATTACCAGGTTTCTGGTGATCCTTGGTCATAAAAATAATGGTGTGAGAGAGTCAGCGACTCCCAGTCACTGTCCAACAGGCCACGGGATTTTTCCATATGTCTGTCAGCCTAACCCATCGATTTTGACAGTTGTAGCTAAGCTTCCTTCAGAGTCTACCAGCCCAGGGGAGCCACAGGTACCTTGAAGCAAGCCAACCTCAAAAATGGAAAAGGGCTAGGTAGTAGCTATATTTGTGGTGAACGTATCGTTACTATAAACTTGGGGAATCACTATGTCGTACACCTGAAACTGATGTGATATGCATCAACTGTACTTCAGTTAAAATGAATAAATGAAGGAAGGAAGGACAGGACGGAGGGAAAAGGAGAGGGAGAAAGGGAGGGAGGGAAAAGGGCCAAAATGCAGGCTCCACATCCCTCCATACTTCCTCCTGCTGAACCTCTTGGTGCAAGGAGGTTCTCTTATTCTTGATGTCCTTACTCACAGTTCTCTGTTAGGATGAGGACATACTTACTACTTCTCTTGCCCAGCACTGAGGCTTCCTCCCATGATGGGGTTGTGTGTTTCCACTGCTTTCTTCATTCAAGGCTAGGTGTCTCTCAGCCTTTAGCAGTTTTGTACAATATCTTTGTGTTTCATAAAACCCATGGCTCTCTTCCACAACAGACTGGGAATTCAGGGCACACTTTTAATAAGAGGGTAGGCAGAGACTGAGTCATAATCGTACAAAAAGTGCAACATCACAGCATTGTGGTGTGGATCTTGGAATCACACAGGCTTGGGTAGAATTCTAGTTTTAGTCTCATGTTGAGTGTGCTGTCTTGCACAAGTTTCTCATTTTCTATAAGCTATAATTTCCTCATCTGCAAAATAGGAATTATAATAGTACTTTATGGGTTTGTTTGAAAGATTAAGTAAATGAGAATACATATGTAAATGAAACAGTGATTATGGCCAAAGAAGGAATGTCTGAAAACTTTCTTGAAAGCTAACCATAAGTTGCTAGACCATTTTCAAGGACAGATCTTGGTCCAAATTTGGAAAAATAGTTTCTGATTTTAGAAAATTGAAATGCAAGACCATACTGAAAAGTTTATCTCACACCCCTAGGCAGAGTTAGATTCTGCCTCCTCTGTGCTCCCACAACATTCTGTACTGATTTCTATCAATAGTCTTCATCTGTGTTGTGATGATCTGTTTATACTGCATGACAGTTTGGGACATCAGAGTTGAGCCCTTTAAGGTCAATTACTCTGCTGGATTCATCTTGGCGCCCTAAATGCTAGCGCAAGCCCTGGATTGAGAGGAGGCTCTAGTGGTGGGATGGATGGATGAGTGCGTTGTCAGCTGACCCACTGGTTGAATTACTCCCCCATTTGTAAAATTCACTTGAAATCTCATCTGCACTAGGAAGTGTTCTTTGATTTTCCTCCTCTATGAGGTGTCTCTTTGTGGACCACAGGAACTAAACTGTAACTATTCCCTTCTCTTCTTTTTTTTAAAAAAAAAAATGTTACTACTAAATGGACTTCTCTACTTTAGATTAGAGAGAGAGACCAGATCCCATATGATACTCTCTTTCACAGGTTCTCACCCATGATGAGTCCTGGATAAATATAGATTAAACTCAATTATGTAGATTAACTTCTTTGAGGGTTATCATGCATGTTGGCTAAAAAGTCTCTTCAGGGGTATTAATCTCAAGCAAAGAGGACTCAAAAGAAAGTGTGTTGTAGCAGCCGATGTATAATGTGGGATTTGCCCATTAACAATGCCTAAGAATCTCTAAATTAAATTATGCTGCATCTGTGACATTACCTTAAAACTACTGACATATAAACAGTTGCAGTAGAATTACAAGAGCTGTCTGCTATTCTTCAAAATTAATTTGCTTTCCCTGAGTTGTCTATGAGAATCATGTAGCACATGATACCCACCATCTTTAAGCAATATGGTGTTTTCTTCCAAGGCTTATGTACTTATGTTGAGAAAACGCTTTTATTTTCAGTTGGATTTGTGAATAACATACTGTTCTGGTGCTCTCATGTGTTTGTAGATCATATGCTTTGTTCTTACAATTAAAGATGGCAGAAACTCCTTTAGTTGGATTGGGAGGAACACTCATGATTTATCTATGTGGTATTATCACCGTAACACATTTTCTGACTGTGATTAGTCTTTAAAAGCATCAAAAGTGCTACACAAGTTCATGAAATTTCTCTGTCATGCTCAGGTGTTTTCCATAGAAAGTGACAATTTTTAAGATACCATAATGATGTTTGTCCAATATGCTATTTAAATAACAGTGTGGTCCTCAACTCAGGAAAAGAATGGAGCCCCCAAATAGTTCTAACTTCCTTTAGTTACCTCTTACTAATGTGATTCCTCTAAACCAACCATTGACATTATTAGGTCCATGGCCAAATCTGGCTTGCCCCTTCTTTATGTAAATAAAGGTTTATTGGAATATAGCCACGCCTACTGTTGTTTGTCTTGTCTATAGCTGCTTAGGCATACAGCCCACCAAACTTTGAATTTGACCATCTGGCCTGTTGCAGAAAATGTTTGCTGACCTGCATTAAATCCTTTGTGAACCTGCTTATATTTCGGGAGCCATGGGGTACTCGATCAAACTCGAGGTCACCTGTAGTTGCCTTACTAAGGTGTCCCAGGTTTGGCTGCATTGGGTCCTTCCCTCTGCCTCTGTATCCTCTAATCCTCCCTCTGTACCTCCCAGAGTACTGCAGTCACTTACTTTGGTGCCCGTCTCCTGGACTGGAAGAACAGGAGCAACTTCCTGTTCTCCTTTGCTGTTTCCAGAGCCTGGCACAGCATCCACACTTACCTGGTGCTCACTGTTCACTGAGTGAACAAATGAATTATAATTCCTAGTCAAAGTATAAAGCAGCGTTTTTATACGTATAGTTTATCTGAGACTCTGAATAATCTAGATACTTCTTTCTGTAGTTTTTTTTATAATTACATAAAAGGGGTTTTTCACAAGGATTTTACCCTCATCATTATGTTTCCTTTGTGCTCGTATGAAAATTAATTTGCGTTAAAACAAGTTGACGTTTTTCCAGCTCACATCCAACGTTGGTTCTGATTATGCTAAATATTAGGAAGAGATCTCTTGGAATTAAAAAAAAAATCTTGCAGACCCTCCCAATCTTGTGTAGATGGCTGAAAATAAATGGATGTTGTCTCCATTTTGTCAGGGTCTTAGTACTCAGAGATAGCTGGCAAGAAGGTCTGGTTCATAATGTATTCGCTCATTGCGGCAATGCTTATTAAGTCTGGTGTTCTGGGCAGGGGTGAACCAGTCTTCACTCTCGTGGAGCTGATGTTCTCATTCAGGTAAGTAGTAGCCAACCCAGAAAACTGCCAGGTGGTGGCAGGGCCTCTGGCAGGATGGAAGTCAGGTGATAGAAGAGAGAGTAACTGGGTAGCAATTTAAACTGGTGGTCCTGGAATGCTCCTTGGAGAGAGTAGCATTGGAATTAGAATTGGAATGATAAGAAAGAAGCAGCCATGCGAAGATTATGGGGAATTGAATTGTAGGCAGAACAAACAGCTGGGACAAAGGCCCCCCCAGTCTGGGAAGGAGTTTAATGTGTTAGACGAACAGAAGGAAGGCAAATGTGGCAGATGTATAGTGCATAGCGGAGAGGTGGGGGGAAGAGGAGCTTCAGGAAGTAGGTAGGCAGCAGTGGGGACATAGCCTGTGTTGGGCTTAGGACATAGGCTCTTTTCTGCTCTGGTTTCAGAGGAACTGAGGCATGGTGGTTGGTCCTGACTTCCTGATGCCATTTTGTACCTAGAATGGCCTGGGGAGACTAGTGAGTCGGCTGTTGGTCAGGTCGATGACTCACACAGTAGCCAGGAGCTCCAGAGCCCCACCCTGTGTAAATCCAGACCCATCTACCTCACTATGGAGTCCTGTGAAGCCTACCTGTGTGTCCACTGCCAGGTCAAGATGCCTGTTTGTCCATCTGTTGGGTCCCAACAGAACAAAGACAATGATTACCTACATGAACACCTGCCCAAGTAAGCACCTTTAAAAGTTAACCCTATTTCATCTTATCATTCACATGGAAACATTGTTGCAGGCAGATAAGATGTTTTCTTAATAAAGGGTTAGATTTCAGGAAATATACATGTTGGGGCAACGTGGCCTAAATGGGCTGGTGAAAAATATTCACCTAAATGAGAATGTGTTTAGCCTGTCCAACTGTTTTGTGACATGTTGTTATTAGTATTATTAACGTTCAATTAATAATAAATGTATGTGATATACGACCCTGTGGTTCAGTGTACACAGGATGAAATAGCTGACAGATTCAGCCATTTTGATTCACTTCCATAAATGTTTTGATTCCTTAAACATTGGGTCAAGCCAATCCTTAGCATCAGACAAGGAGAATGAACAGATAATAAAATATTTTTTAAGGCATTGGGACAAAAAAAAAAGTTTCAGATGTCACTGATATTACTAAAGTTATCAGAAACAAAGAATTTCAGATTTGTTCTAACAATTTTGACAGTAAACCATTGTTTAAATAAAATGTCCTTCCTTCCCCACCTGTTCGCTGTGCTTAGACATAGCTCACCATGACAATTAATGGGTATTGCTGGAAGCTTGCAAAGTTGTCATCTTGCTGTGGTTTGGTGAAGTCAGGGTCTAAGGGAGGGTGGAGGGAGGAGGAAGGAGAAGGAGGTGCTGGGAGGAGGATGATGGGAAAAGGTCTCTTTTAACAAAGAAGAGGCAACTCAGTGGGAGTGGAAGCTGGCAATCTGCTAAAAGGAAATGAAAGGAAATTCTTCATTTCTAAATGGTTCATTGACCCATGATAATAAAGCAGCCCTGCCAAAGAAGGATAATTATCTTTTTAAGTATCTGATGCCCTGTGGGTGAAGGCTTCCCTTCTCCCCTCTTGAAAAATGAACTCAGATTAAACAAATGCTCCTTTTCCTAGTTTACCGTTGACATGAATTTCCTGATTATGAGCAAAATTAATCAGTTTTTCCTTTCTCCCCCCTCCTTCTTCTCTTATGGAAATCAGGCCCGCCCAGCTGAGCTCAGTGCATTTCCCTTTGGGCTCTGTGTCCTACCAGTATGATGGTCTACAGTGCTTGATATTCTGGTGAGACTAGCAATCATAGAATTGGGGTTTTATTACACCTCTTAGCTCCTTAGCTTTAGGCAAAGCATGATCTTATAAAACAACAAGAAACGGGAAAAAGGAAGGAAACAGAAAAGAACATTAGAGCACTTTTTTTTCTCCTGCCGGTACCTGAAATCTAAACAAAAAATAATATATCTATCTGTGTGTGTGTATACTATACATATATATGCATATTTGCCCGATTGTATGCATGTAGCCACACGTATATGAGAAGTTCAAATACACAGACAACTGAAATGTTATTGATGGTGTAACATTGAATATTAATTTGCCACCAACATGTGATCAAACTTACTTTTTTTTCCTCTAGATTTTGTTTGTTCGGGCCAATATCATAAATATGTTGACTTGCCTTAAGACGGTTTTGTTTGCCTAAGTAAAAAAACAAAAAACCCTTTTTTCTTAAGTTAATGATTTACCTTCAGCTGGCTTCCTGAATTCTTAATAATCAATTTGAGGAACGCTTGTCATAAATTGCTTAACCCCATGGTACATCTCTTATCAGAAATAAAGGACACTGTATATTTTCAGAATGTCGACACTCCTTTTAAACATAAATAAAATAACTCCTATAGTATTTTCATTACATTTTTCTGTAAAGAGATATTGAAATTAAAATTTTAATCATGGGTATTCTGCTTGCTTTTCCAACCCAGTGCCTTTAGCTGCTTGAGAAGACAGAGCTTTCGAATTGGGGTCAGGAGATAATGGTCCAGAATAGATTTTGCCTCTTGGCATAATTATTTCAGCCAGCACTTGAGTCTCTCTGAACATTAATGCCCCTTTCCCTTAAAAGAATTTCTTCAGTGTGCCATCCCTTGCCCTTCAAAGTATAATTAACCATGTTTATAAGCTCTTTTTGAACTTCCTGGAGTTTGGTGGTTCTTTGTTTTTTTGTAAATATTTGTTCTTTTATTCCTTAGTCTTTGAGAGTTCAGGCCTTGGGCCAAGGGGATTCAGTACTGTGGGTATAAACTTCTCGGTAAAAATACTTCCCAAAGAAGCAAAAGTGTGCCTTAACAGAACTCACCACAGATGTCCTCGTGTGTCCCCTTCGGCCAGTGGAGCGCTTCCGAGACCTGCGTCCCGATGAAGTGGCGGATTTGTTTCAGGCGACCCAGAGAGTTGGGCTGGTGGTGGAGAAGCATTTCCAAGGAACTTCTCTCACATTTTCCATGCAGGTGAGTGTACAGATAGCTCAGAAGTTATTTTTCTTCCTTTTCACACCCTAGCGTTGGGCTCTCTCTCTCTTTTAAGCTGCCATCTCACTGGTAAGGCAGCTGTGGTTGTTCATGTCTTTCATAGTAGCAGAAAAAGGTGTTACTAATCCAGGACCGCCCTACTATCTATCCTTGGCCCCAAGGTGGACTGTGGAATGTCAGCTGAGACACTGTCTGCAGCGTTGTTTACAAAGTAGGTGGGAAAAATAGACACGTGATTTCATGGGCATTAAGACATTCCAGATCTTTTCCTGGGACTGGGACTGGACAAGTCATTTTTATTGCATGGTAAATATGTCTTGAGCTCTGCATGGGCCTAGCCTTGCTCCACCTCAGGATAGTAGAGACATGCAAGTTACATGGGGCCTTGCCCTCAGAGGGTTCCTTTTCTCTTTAATTCAAGCACCAGTGATTGATTGTGGATTGGTATGAAGCTGGATTGATGGAATATTCTGTGTGGCCTGCTTCCCAGGAAGAAAATGAGACACCAGCCCCTCCACCCTCGCCCCCGCCCCAGTCACTGGAGATCTTTAGGCAGAGGTAGAGCCAAGTGTAGGAGGAGGAGGTCTGTGGTGAGTCATCAGCTGTGGGAATTGAGTAAATCCATATAACATATCCTGTGCCCCTTCAGATCCCCCTTGGGAAGAGTTGGGGAGTATCAATACCTAATTAAAGTCCTTAGTGGCCTCGAAATCACATGACTCTGCAGGGACCCTTTGGAAAGAATTGACTTCTTCCATCATGTGATATCTTGCCCTCAGTGCTTTAGTTGTGCAGAATATTTACCATCCTCCTTACCCTCCTCATGTCCCCACCATAGACCTTCGAAGAGAACAGGTAAAGAAGGCCACTATTTTTAGGTTATGAAAGGCTCAGACTAAAACTGCTCTTAAATGCTTCTTAAAAATTTTTTTGCTGCCATGTCTGTGTTGAGAGTAAACTTCCCTTTAAAATACTATGTGTGTGTGTGTGTGTGTGTGTGTGTGTGTGTGTGATGTCAAACCATTTGAGTCACCTTCATGCAGGTAATTAATCTCAGGGTGGGTTTATCAAGCTTATGCTATAAATCATGTTTCCGGAGAGACCAAATGAAGGCAAGTGGCTGAAGACATCTGTCAGTGTTAAATGAAATGCTAGAAGAAAATTCACATTCGCTGGAAATAGCCAGGGCTAGTTATCTAACATGATTTACTAGAAAGTGAATCCCATAAACAAAGGAACTGACTTGTGCGTAGCACTTGGAGTACTTTCATAAATGCCGTGTTTTCAAACCCTTTAAAGCTTTAAACCATACTAGGATATTTATTCCACAATCATTGTGACCCTCCCTCCCCATGGATACATACGTAGATAAAGGAAACCAGAGTTTTACAAAACAGCATTTACCCTTTCAGTGCACTCTAATCGTTTTTGTTGTATTATCCGGTTTGTTTTTAATGCTGATCACAACCCATTAAGCTGACTTCATGACCCACTAATGGGCTGTGACTTCAAGTTTGAAAACCACTGATACACAGTTCTACTTAATCTTGGCCACAGCAGGCCAAACCTTCTTACCCATTAGTCTGGGTCACAGAGGTAGAAAGGCTTGCTAAAAGTTGCAAGGTTTGATTCAGTTTTACAATTTTTGATTGTAGACATTGCTTGTTCTGGTATCTCAAACCAGCTAAACACTTGTTTTTGCTTTGTATTGTGACTGATGACTGGGCGAGTTGGCCCATTTTCAACTAAACCAATAGTATTGTTGGGTTTTAAAAAGCTGAAAAAGGCCCAGCAAAAATGAATGCTCCTACTTCCACGCTCCCCCACCCCCACCAAGGTCAGGACAGCCAGAGAGGGCCCACTCTTGGGTGATCTTCCTATATAAGACAGCCCATATACTTGCTTAATGGATTATGTTTACAGTAGGTGTTTGGGTTTTTTTTTTTTTTTTTTTTTGAGTAGAGACTTGTAGTAATCAGACATTAATTAAACTACATCTGATTTAAAGATAACCAAAAGGTGTGATAATTTACCTCCTCAAACATTTCCAACCTTCCTTTAATGCAATTAAAACCATAACCAAGAGCAAAGAGCATGGAAAGTAGCAAGAGGGTTGGTTCACTGGATAATTTATATCATTTTTATACATAACTTTTCACTTACTCTCAGGCAGAAATGGAGAACTGTCTTGTCCCACACATTTGAAGTGAATGGTCCCCATGAGAATACTATAAATTAACACACAATGAAATTGGATCTAAATTATTAACGGGAGATATTTCTGAATAAGTAGGAGATATCATCTATCTGGTATCACCTCTGTTATTTATCTATTTTTTCCCCCTCCTTCCAGGATGGCCCTGAAGCTGGACAGACTGTGAAGGTGAGTGCTTATTATGTGCATACAAATTAATAAGGGGCAGTTATGAGAACTAATAAAAATCACACTGAGCCATTTGCAGCACATTGCTGGTTCATTATGTTATCTTCGAGGTCAGAGAGACCCTCAGTGTTAGAGCCATAAATCCTGGCATTATAAACTATGCCAAGCAATATGCTTCCCATTAGTTTACAAGACATTTACCTTTTGTAGTAAAGTTATTATTGTGTAAATGCTAAAACAGAAGCTACATCAAAAAGTCCAAAGACAGAGACTGAAGTCAAAGGAGTTCTGGGTGAGGTCTCATCTAGGGAACAGCATGTGAGTCCTGTGTGGACTGGCAGGTCCCATGTGAAGCTGGGGTGTCCGTGTTCTTCACACACCCGCTTTCTGCTGCATCATTCTTGAGCACCGGGCTACATGAGGTGCTTGCCCACGTGCTTGCCCACAGTTCTCCCTTCACCGCATGCTCTGCTTCTCTCTCTTCTCTCTCTCTCCACCCACATACCTATACTTTTCCTCCCTTTGTACTTCATACCAAAGTTCTAACCTAATGGAGTCAGTGGAGCTCAAAGATGGGTTTTTAAGTGTGCTAAAAGAGGAAAGGAGGATTTGTTAGGATACTCTCTGCTTCCCTAGTAAAATAAAATAAAAGAATAAAATCCTGGCTGATTCTGAAGCTGGATTTCAGCCCCCTTCATACAAATGCAAATTCCTCTGCAGTTAGGTCCTATACCTAAATCATAGAAAAGGCTATTTTTTTTTTTTCAGTGCTAGAAATCAGAAGGAAGTCAAACCAGGGTGCTAATGTGTGATACTTTGCAAAATAAGGTTTTATGGCTTCAAGACTGGCTGTGAGCGGCTAAGGTAATGCTTGGTTCCAATCAGTGCCCCCAAAAAACATAGTCCTTTTTTGATATTAGTTTGCATATGGCTTTAACGTTTAACAGAGTTTCTGTGGGACTTTTAATAGAATCTCTGGGAAGTACTTGTGAGGAACAAATGTCCTATAGGGACTGCCATCAAGTTCTTTATGATAAAAAAGAGCTAGCCTCCTGATTGCTCCAGACATATGATGTCATAGGGACAAAGGGGACTCACAGCTTCCCTCCACCCCACTGTCCACCCCCATGCCAGGCTTCTAAACATGCAGCCACTAAAAAGAGTATAATATGAATAGCTTCTTTTTCAAATCATTTCTTGAAATACAAAACACAATGTTTAAGTCTGGTTGCTAGTTTTTTAAAAAACTCAGTGTGCAGGGCTCAGTCAGTTAAGCATCTGCCTTCAGCTCAGGTCATGATCCCAGGGTCCTGGGATGGAGTCCTACATCGGGCTCCCTGCTCAGGGAGGAGCCTGCTTCTCTCTCTCCTTTCCTGCTACTCATGCTCTCTCTCTTTCTCTCTCAAAAATAAATAAAATCTTAAAAAAAAAAAAAACTCAGTATGCAAATGTAAATTCCAACAACACCAGATTTAGTTAGGTGCTGTGTGCACTATCTGACCGAATTCCTTCAGCTGTTGCAAGTACAGCTGTAGATGCATAGCTAATAACGTGGGAGAATGCACAAACCCTATCAAGTGGAATGCACAGGTTGATAAGATGTACATATTAAACATATCATTAAATGTATATGAATATATATGTAATATCTCAAAATTTCATCTTGGAATTCTGAAGGGGGTATTAAAATTATGTCCTATATAAGCAGGCACTGAATAGAGACAAAAAGTAGATGCATGGTTGCCAGGGACTGGAGGAAGGAGGGCATGGGGAGTGACAGCTCAGGGGTCAGGGTTTCTTTTTAAGTTGATGAAAATGTTGTGGAATTAGTGGTGATGTTCTTGCAATGTTATGAGCATTCTAAAACCTACTGAATTGTACATTTTAACGTGGATGATTTTATATTTGAATTCTATCTCAGTTAAAGAGAGTAATAAAACACAGTTAAAAAAAAAAAAAATCCAACGAACACCAAGTCTAGCAGGGCTGGACCGCAAGGCTGTAGACTCTTTGATTCTAATTGTGACTACCTTTTTGGTGTCCCAGTTATCTAGCCAAAAAAGTTAATGGTTTTGTTAGCTTCAGTGGAGTAATCCTTGGCCTATAGGACTCATACACGAAGTGTTGAACGTGATTATTATCCTCACCACCGTTGTTATTTAACATAAGTTAATTTTTTTTAACAATTCTATATTTTTGAATCAGTAGATTGTATTGCTTTGGACATCTCTTACCTGTTTCCAGCCCAATCACAGAATTACCCCAATATGCATGAGGGGGGCCTCTTACATCCTTTGTGGAATATAAAGTGGTGAAAAGAAAACAACCACACATGTGCAGATGAAAACCTCAACTGGTGTATGACAACCTCAACTGGTGTATGTCCTTTTAGACCAAGTCCACATATGTGAAATTGTCTAATCTATGTTTTTCCAAGTGCATTCCTTGTGTTACCTGCACAAACATTAATTTTGGTGTTAGTTAAAAAAAAAAAAAAAAGTTGACACTCTCAGTTCTCATTCTAAATCTTGAATACCCTACTTAGGTATTTAAGTGTTTGGGGCTTGGGAGTCTTCATCGTGAACCAGCACACCATGAGTCTGTTCAGAGCCTGGCTGTTGATCACCCTCGTTATTTTATGGTGATAAAATAGTAGCTGGTGAGGGCCGCACCCCCGTGACGCGTGGAAGCCAGCCTTCCAGGAGCCAGCTCCCCCCACCCTCAGGGAGCCGAGCAGCACCTTCAGTATTCGGTTGTCTGGTTCTGAATCCTGCAGTTCAAGACGGAGCACTTCATATTCTGAAATTCACTGATTTGCCCCCTTCAGGGTAGCATTTGACAGCCTACCATGGAGCGCACAGTGACCGTGAGCTTCATCTCTGCCTCTCTGTCTGACTCTTGGTATTCTGCTTGATGCCTGGCTTTGGAACCATTTATGTCTCATACCGGGTGGTAAGAACAGTAAGCCCAGTAATGATCTCTTCCCCTGAAGCCACTGTTGTTATTGTGAGTGAAGGTGTATTCCTGTGTGAGACTCTCGAATGTGGTGCCCCTTTAGGTTTTTTTTTTTTTTTTTTTTGTTTCAGGGGCTTTCGATGCTGTTTTGCAAAGAACAAGGGTGGCCTCATGTACTTAGTAAGTAATTTGTAGCAGGAAAGGGAAATGGGTTCTTATTTTTCAGTTCATTATTCAGGCTCCTTTTGAATTCAAAAGTAATAAAGCCCTGCTCTCTACCCGGTGATCATTGCAACAATTTGGACATCCTGCAGGCTTGAAAAACAATCTTTTTTTTTCTGGTTTTAGGCATGTATCACAATATACATCTGCATATCACTGTATATACATGTACAGCCATATGTCGCTGTTTTATTAGCCTTTTCTGACTCCCATCCCCCATCTGAAGTGGCTCTGCCAAAGCTTTTCTCCCTATCCCGTTGTCTTATTTGATTTCTTTCAAGGCATTCTTTACTGGTTTTTTATTTGTTTGTGTAACTGTTTTTGTTTCTGTACCTATATTTCCTTAGCTCCTCAAAAATGCTAGCTTTTGAGCACCTGCTTTTTGTCATTGTCTACTATGGCCCTTTTGGTTGGTATGGGGAAGATAACGGGACTTTGATAGAGCAACCTCTGCTCGTCAGTTTCTAACTTGAGTTAACATGAAGCAGCCGATGATAGGTACTTGTGCATGTCAGTGTGTAGTTAGGATGTGGGTTTCTTGAGATTTCTCTCAAGAATCCCCTGTATTTCAGGCATCACTGACAAAGACCAGAATTTCCACTAATCAGGTTCCCATATCATATTCCAAAATGTGATTTGAACTAGCCAAATCATTAAAGGCGCTGTTCCACCCTTTAAAAGGGATTCTCCTTAGTAAGTTTAATGTGAGATATCTTTTAGAATAATTACTATGTGCATCTTTGGGTGGGAGGGTGTTTTAGGTATATTAAAGAGAGAAATTTATGGCAGGCAGGTAATCTAGAATCTCATAAGAACTATTTATAGAATATGCTTGCTTACCCTTTTCTGTGTTTGTGGACTTGAATCCCCTACTTAGATATTTAATTTTCTAATATTAAGGCAGTGGGAAGTAAGTGTCTTCATTACTATTGATATATTAGCAGTTACTTTTCAGATTGCTTAGGAAAAACAAGAAAAGGAATTCTTTTAAAAAGTGTGATTTAAAAATTAAAACCAGGGGTACCTGGGTAGCTTAGTCAGTTAAGCATCTGCCTTCAGCTCAGATCATGTTCCCAGGGTCCTGGGATCAAGCCCTGCCTCGGGGAGCCTGTTTCTCCCTTTCCCTCTGCGGCTCCCCCTGCTTGTGCTCTCTCTCTCTCTCTGTCAAATAAATAAATAAAATCTTTAAAAAATTATAAAAAACAAAAAATAAAAATTAAAACCAAAACAAAAGCAACTATTCCATTTACTGAGGGGCCTCTATGGTCCTAGAGCAGATTTTCTAGTGGAGATTTGGTAATCTTTTCAATTCATGAACATAGAGGACATTTTAGCTCTTCGTGAAGTCCAGTAGTTAATACACTTTGGTGTCAGTCAGAGGTTCCATAGGAATATTAGCTCTACTATTTTACTGTGGACTTTGGGCAGGACTCTTAACCTCTCTGAACATCTGTGCCTTCATTTTTCAAATGGAGGGAATCCTGCCTATTGTACTGAGTGATGGTGAGGAGAAACCAACATGAATAAATAGCCCAGCCCACCGCATACTGTCCCTGGGACCTTGTGCATGTCTCTTAATATTAACCTTACCCTCAGTTTTCTCATCTGGAAAATAGGCAAAGACTGGACTTAAGGAGAATGTACTTGGCATTGAGATTGTTTGTGGCCCTGATGAGTTCACAATAACACACTGAATTCTGTCACTGTTAACTTTTGCCATTTTGCTTAAATTCTTGAGAAAACTTTCTTCTGATCATATGACTTGTGCTTTGAATATCGACTTTGAATTTGTTATAAAAGTGACCAGTTGAACATTCAGAAAC